AAAGAAATTCATTCGTTACATTTTTTTTTTATATTATAACTAACATTTTTAGGTTATTATGTAGCATAGTATCACAAAGAATGAAAGAAACTTCTGGAGACGAGTGTGATAGTTGTTTACACTATTACATGCCACGAGTTAAAATATATTACAAATATCGCCTCATAAATACACACCAAACCATACAGTGGGGGAAAGTTGAGGACGAGTGAAGGAACTCCGAAATAATTACTGATACAGAAATCGTGATGGCGTACTTCTCCCTCTCCCCTCCCCCCACATCATATCCAATTAGAGGTTGGGTTCGGTCTGGGCCTGAAGGAGTACCGTCGCGGAGGCTTACACCGCCGAATAATATTACGCAACGCTCAACTTCACTAATTAGTCGGCCTCATTATTTAAGACAAAGAGAACATCTCGGTTAATCTTTCGTTTAAGACTAATTAATTCTGTTAATGCGAGAACAAAGCACAATGTAACATAATCCTAATTGGAAGGCATTACTTGGAAATGTTCGATTCGAGGCGATATTATGCCTTGCATTGAAATAATAACGATGTGGTAGCTAAGACAAAGCAAATATCTACAACATGAGCTTTACATATATTAAAAAGTTTATATATGATTTAAAAAAAAAAGTATTTATTGTTTTTATTTCTTATGCAGGTTTCATAAATGCAGTATTACAAAGCCCTTCAATGGAAAATGGTCCTCACACCAAGAGTATGGTACGAGTGCTGAGAATGTGTTTTTATCAATAATGAAGCACGAAAATGACTGTTAGTAACAAGGTTAGAGGAAGAAAGATGTGAAGCCGAATGGAAAGAAATAAACACTACGGCAATAAATTAATAAAGAGGATACTTGTTAAAACAACTAGACGAGAGCAAGAATTTCTATATTGACCTAAACAGATGATCCGCTACAGGAAACCAAGAGTGAGCCACATAGATCTAGAATTAAGAGGGACGATCGTCTCTCCTTCTCCAATAAAAATAGATGGGGGCAAGAATATCGTTTCGCGCACCCCCTCCAATATGTCAAAGAATAAAAAATAAAAATCAATAACAATTAATCTACACGAATGAGTAAAATCAGAAAAATTTATATATGTTAAGTAACGACTGTGCAACGTTGGACAGGTTCACATTCGGTACTTTAACATGGTGCCGATGATATATAAGTCTTTCAGATGACAGAATGAATAACTGCATTTTCAAAATTGTTGAGTAAAGTCATTTTATTGATATCCCTAGTTGAAAAGATTATAATATCTGTACAGACAGTGAGTAAATTGATTCCAGAGTGTAGTGTACACCATAGGTGATTGCAGTGTTGAAATATATAACTGTAAATAAAGCTACACATTTTCACACAAAGAATATTTCTAAAATTAATTATAAAAAATGTTGAAATTGGAGTTAGTCATTCTGTCAACTGAAAGGCTTGTATAATCCATTTTTAAAAATTCTATAACTATAGGAAGATGTTTGATATTTGTTAACCTGTTAATCTACAAAAGTCTATCGGTAAATGTAGATAAAAAACAACTTTTTTCTTTTGCGTAGCTCAATGATATTTTAGAATGGTTAATTTATTTTCATTATATAGCATAAATAAAATAGAGCAAAAATTAATTCTATAAAGAAAAGTATTTTTTTTCCTTTTCCTTTACTCCTTAATTTAGCGGGCCTTTATTGGATATTATCAATAATAAAATATATATAAACCCACAAGGGCAGTTTCGCAACTTAATGGATAAGATTGTCGAATCATAATATTCTCCAGGATGAGATTTCATATAACGAAGAACATTTATTTTAAGCATGCAATCAGCATTTCGTCAAGAAAAAAACATGAGTATTTTAAAAAAACTTTAGTAATAATAATAAGTTACCAAGTTCTATTTTAGGAAGCTAACAGATTATCAACACGGTTTACCAATCTGTTCTACAAGAGAAAGGGGAAGCTACAAAAGTGTCGATGATGAACCTAGGGCAGCTAAGCTGGCCCTTGGGATTGGCTAGACAGCCCAGATCCCCGGGGAGGAATCCAACCATCAGCCAATCAGATGCTCTCTTTTATGTATCTTGTAGGTCTATTCGTCCATCCATTTATTTCGATCTATGACTCCCGTTCGCATTTGGCATTTTTTCTAGCAATGTTTATGTATTTCCGTATACTAAAAAAAAACAACTAAAATTTGAAAAAAATAACAAATTCAAATAGCAACATAAAAATGACAACTTCCTAAAATTTAAGTAAAATAAAATTTTCCTTTATAGCTTGAAAAAGGCGTCACCTTTTCTTTTTTTTTTTTTTTTTTTTTTTTTTTTTTTTTTTTTTTCATTAAATCAAATTTATACGGCATTTTTTTCTCATTTTTTGGGGCAGAAGCTCCCCCAAAATGGTAAAATATAACCACGTTTTATGGAAAAAATTATCTCTTGAAGTATTATTGTTCGTGTAATTATATTTAAAAGGACTTTAGGAATCACTTAAACACCATTTTATGAAATCTCAAATTTATACTGGTAGTTAGTTATAGGTAGTTAGTTTCTTTCATTTTTGCCAAAGTAATTATCATCATTTTTATGAAAAAAAAAAGCTTTCGGGCTGAAGCCCCCTCTCCCCCAAAATTAAATCCTGGATCCGCTAGCGTGCACCTATGCAACTATATGTGATATGTTAAAAGACTTTGCGTCAATTTAGTGCACTTAATGTAAACTTTTTATCAATAAATAAAGTCGAAATTCTTAGCTCTTAAATCTTAGTCGAAATTCGTAGTTCTTATAAGTTCAGCTCCATCAAAAATGTACTTATGTTACTGACTTTTTGCAATAGACCTACAATATTTTTTTTTAAAAAGATGTTATTAGCAAATCTCTCTCTCTTGATAATAACATATTTTTAAAATCTCTCTCTCTCTCTCTCTCTCTCTCTCTCTATATATATATATATATATATATATATATATATATATTTAATGACCTATCATACGACTAAAATTGATAACTTAAGGTAGAATATATAAAGGTCGAATTATAAAAACATTGTAATATACAATTAAATAGTTAAAATTAAGAATGTTCGTTAAAATTATAATATCTATATGCTTCTTCTTTTGAATGATAGCCTTTCAAAATCATTAAACCTGGAATAAAATTGTAGATTTGTAAAAAAAGACTGAATCACATCCGCCTTTACATCAGATCAGACCAACAGATCATCCAAAACAGAAATATCCTTGTCAAAAAAAAAAAAAAAAAAAAAAAAAGAGAACATTCAAAGTGACCGAATAAAAAAAATTTATTGCTAAATAAATAAACTTTCAAAAGGTTTATGACGGGACTGAAAGGGACCGAAATTCATAGCGATATTTCGGTTTTAATTTCGCTATTTCGCCCGTAAATAACGGAGTAACGGACCATTTAAAATAAACAGAAGAAAATAATCAGCCGTAAATACGACAAAGGCTGGAGGGATAATTTAGGACTTTTACGAGGGATCGGCTGGCTGGGGTCCAAGCATTCCCCATCCCGCCCTTTGACCCACATTCCCGACAATGAAGCCTTCAATAATTCCCATAACGACCGAATAAAAAGTCGTTTCGTCTCGCGTTAAGGATGTTCTCTTCATCCAGTTTAAAAATTGATATTTCTAAATTATGACTGAACCAACTAACCCATCCTTCTACCTCATGTATTCGATATATAAGCCACATCTGCGAAACGTCTTCATTCGTAGATGCAATAGAATAGAATAAAGATGGAAGAGACACGTAAGTTACATACTATAATAAGACTGTTATAGAGATCTATAACCATCATTGCTTTAAATTTTAATTCGCTCTTAGTAAACCAATGACTTCCTGTCCTTCAGTATACTTTAACAACACCTCACTTATTCCTGTTGAACAGATCCGTTACCTAGGACTTCACCTGGAAAAACGTCTAACTTGGAAATCTCATACCCGACTGAAACGACAAGAAACCGCTTGAAGTTTCCGACTACTTCAACACTTACTAGACAAACGCTCTAACCATCCAATTAATTACATGACTATAATAAGGCTTATTTGGACATACGGAGTTGAGCTGTGGAGCTCCACCAAACGATCAAATTCCTCTTGTTAGCCAATCCTTACAATCCAAAATCCTTCGTAAAATCCTCAATGCTACTTACTTTGTTAGAAATAAAATCATCAACAATGACCTTAATGTTCCTTATGTATCATATTTGGCCCAATCCAGATATCCTTACATAATAAACTTCATAACCATCCCAACCCTCTTGTTTCTAAGCTTCCTATTCAATTCCTGATAACCCTCCGAGGCGTCTGAAAAGAAGATGGCCCCGTGATCTCCTAGTACAGACGTATTATTAGAGTGCTACCAATGGGTAGTTTCTCAACATGTGTTTCATGTCATTATATCCATGTACGAATTTACTAGATGTATTTTTTTTATACAGTTGTAAATATGATAAAAATAATAATAATAAAAAAAAATAATTTGCTCTTTCGAACTTTTTTAGCTCTCGGTGAAGTTGGGTTCTTCCAATCCATGGATTATGGCTTTGTTTCAACATCGTAAATAAAAATACACGTTTCGCCAATCGGCATCAAAAGGAACAAGATTTGAATTCGTTGAAGGTGTGGAAGAGAAAGCGGCACTCGTCCCGAAAGGATCTGGCAGAAGAAGTCTACCAGCACTCTTTCAGATAACGGAAGATTCGCATGGAACATTACAGTCATAGAGGAAGGTGTACATTGAAGGTGATAATAAGCAAATATGTCTGAAAGCAATATGCAGTGTTTTACAGAATAAGTCTCGTTATTTAATAGTCACGCCTCGTTAAAATACACTGCATTAAACCTTTGGTGCAAAACCAAAACAAATCAATGTTTAGATTGTTTGCGACAAAATAGAAAACTTCTAGGAGTTACTCTAAAACGACTTGGAAAACAGCCGATAAGGACTAAGGTTACTAGTACTCACCCTCCTAATGTCGTCGAGGTTGTGAATCTCCGGAGACAGCCCGCCGTGGACGCAGAGGAACTGTTGGTTCATGAGAGCTGCCAGGGGGAGGCAGTCGAAGGCCTCCATGCAGGCGTCGTACACCCTCTCCGAGTACTTTATCTTGCCTGCAAAAGGGTTAATACATAAGTGATAAGTTGTAGTGGGTGAAATGGTACCATAGATAAGTGTTAAACTGTCGTGTACATAACAATAATCTAACTACTTTATTAAACAGATAACCAGGAGCGTATTAGCACATGAATAGTGAAGGGAACACCCTCTTCCCCCAGCCTCTTGTTATATCCAGTTTTTTCAAGATCTATGTCTTCCTCCTTCCTTCCTATTCCCATCACATATTTTATATTTGCGAGAACATAATTGAGCCGCTTTTAATTTTTTTAAATTGAAATATATTCTTTTTAGCAGAGAGATGTGATGACATACGATATTGAGCCGCTTGTCCGATTAACCACGTTATTTTGAAAATTTGGGAGTGTAGGTCACGCAAAACGGCTCAACATTTTTTATTGTGAATATATTATGTTATGGGAGTGGGGTAGCTCAGTGGTAGGATACAGAGCTTCCAATGCAAAGGTCCCAGGTTCGAACCCCGGCTCATGGCAGAAAATTTATTTGTCTGTTTCATTGGCCGTGGGGCGACCCTGGGTCGGGAGACCCTCCTGGGGCACACCCAGCCTCTATGAAGTGGGTACCTTTAATTAAATAAATAATTAAGGGGGAAAACCTGGCGGTTGAGTGTGATCTCGGTCAAACCACCTCCTTGCACAACCGTTGACCTAGAAACAGTACTTTCCCTAAATAGTACTGAACCCCAGACCCCCTATGAGTTGTAGTGGTACAGGTTTTTTTTATATTATGTTATAGTGAGATAAAATCAAATTTTCCACTATATGCCCAAAAAAAAAAAAAAAAAAAAATGAAAAGAACAAAAATAATACAATAAATAAAACCAAATAACTTAAAAATAAGGAAATTAAAACAAAACAAAACATACATAACTTGATAATTTATAAGAGATCATATTTCTGTTTTTTTTTTAATTTTTTTTTTTTATAGTTAGATAAGTTTACATTTTCCATTATATATACAAAAAAAAAATTAACAGAACAAAAATAATACAATAAATAAAACAAAATAACTTTCTGTTTTTTTTTCATTTAAGCGTTGAAAAATTGTATCCAAATGTTATCCTTGATGAATAGATGTGTTACCTGTAAAAGCATGGTTCGCTATTAAGACGCAAACATTAAGATTTAATCACAGGTATTCCATATAGAAAACAGAATATAGTCCTTAGTACAGACACCATTTTATCAAATTATAAACATCCGCTTGAAACTTGGTGAATAGCTTCATCTCATCGTAACTTACAACTATTTTATTTAAGAAAGTTCTTGATCGAAGCTTTTTCAACCTGGATATGGGCAAACTTTGTCTATTTAATTAGGTACTAAAAACTCGTAAATAACCATTTGCTTTCCAGTTGGATCGTAAGATACTTTGATCACAAAAAAAGTGACCTTAAAAAATATTGAGCTGTTTTGAATGACCTACACCCCCAAATTTCAAAATAACGAGGTTATATCGGACAAACGGCTCAATATTTTTTATCGATTTTGTGATCAAATTATGTTACGATCCAAGTAGAAAGGAAATGGTATTTACGAGTTTTTAGTAGCTAATTAAATAGACAAAGTTTGACCCTCTCCAGATAAAAAACCCCCCAATTCCAAGAGTTTTTGTAAATAAAATATCACAAAATCGAGAAAAAAGGTGCCCTACAAAAATATTGGGCCACATTATTTTGATATTTTGGGGTTGTATGTCATGCTAAACGGCTCAATATTTTTGAAGACCACCTTTTTTCTCGATTTGGTACTCAAATTATCATACGATTCAAGTGGAAAGCAAATAGATATTTACGAGTTTTTAGTACCTGATTAAATAGCACGGACTAATATCTAGTGGTTTCAAGGAATACGTAAAGGAGATTTATAAAACTTATAGGTTCCTTGCAAAAAAGTAATAAGGTCTACAACAGAGTTTTAAGTATTTTATAAAGCACAATACATAGGTTGCGTCAGTTTACGACGGAATGTTCGACTGGTGTTTGCATTCTCACTACAGAAGGTAGAGGAACTTGTTAATAATATATGATCAATTAGTATTTGATCATATTTCTGTGAATCTGTAATTTAAAAAGAAGCTCGGTTTGAGCATTAAACTCGACGGTTCAGAGATAACTAATAGGGACTTAATAATCTAATATACACTTAATAATTGTGAACTCATGGTTGACTGTCGTGAATAACTGAAGAGAAGGATAGTTGGAATGATCAGTCAAAATAAAAAAATAAATAATTATATTTATTTTTATATTTGCCGACGTTTCGGCCCAAAGTTCGGACCGACAGCAGGGCTTATAAACTTAATATAATATAAAACTTTACATTTTTTTGGGGATAGAAAAAATTTACTAAAATATTATCGCACAACTTTTTTATTTATTGAGAATTGCCCCATTCTTTGAAGACGCTTGATAATTTATAGTTATAATTGATAGTGGATACTGTCAAACAATAAAGTAAAATCAACAATGAAATATTTACTAACATTCCTGCTTGAAGGTGAAGTATTCGGTCAGATGTCTGCACTCGTGGTTACCCCTCAAGAGGAAGAGGGTGGTAGGATGGCATAGCTTCAGCGCCCACAGGTATAACACGCACTGCAAACAAAAAAATAATAATAAATAATAACATACTAGAAAAAAAATGTATACAATATACCGCTCATTTGCTGCAATAATATCATAACTCATTATGATAGGTACAATTCCAATGATAGGTACTTTTAACTGGTAAAACATTCAACCCCAATATTGCAGTATTTATATTTTCTTTATAGTTTATATGAAAATTTATTTTTATTTATTGAGATTAGCAACTGTATTAATAGAAAACAACAAATAAATGTTAAGTGAGAATAAAAATCATGATATTAACTTGCCAATAAACTACCCACTGATATCTCCTAAATTTATAGAATTTAAAAATTCAAATCCATTTCTTCAAAAATAGTGAATTTTAAGTTACGACGTTATTGTTACAAATGAGCGATATATAAAAAATATATTGCATAATATGAGTAGTATATTTTATTAAGGATACATTTCCAAGTTATATTCGGGAAAATTCTAGGTCATCGAAATAGTTGTAGTAGCACAACATGATAAAATATGTCAATAAATAATTTAATTGCTCTTCCATTTTTTAAAATATTATGAGGGAATAAACGACAAAGGCCATAATATTATACCCAAAATTTACTGTTCTTTTATTGTTTTTTATTTAGCAATTCTTTATTAAGAAATATAAAAATCTGTCACAAGAGGTAGTTTTTTATTTGTTTGAATGTATTTAAATAAATACAACATGTACTATATACACATCTCCCTTTACAGCAAATATGATATTTCATTATTTTACATAATGATATACTAAGAAAAAATACATATTTAACAACAGTAACTGTAAAGACGAGTTAATGATTTTTTGTTGTTGTATGATTTGGAGTTTTGCATAATTGTTTTACATAGAAATTTTAGCTTAATCAATCTTTCATAACTAGAACAAACATAAGTAAGGAAACAATTAAATTTAATCATTAACAAATAATAATAAAATTTCACCGCAACATGAAAATTTAAAATATCAGTAAACATCTCCTGCGACGACGAGACGAGGGTCTTTGATAATATCTCCTCGAGGCTTGAGGGAAAATAGGATTTAACCTTCTCAGCAACCTCTTTACCCTGAAATTTAATGGGCTCTTTAATCGCTTCAAACCCAAGAAGGAGGTAGGAGGAATTTATCGTCAAAATTGTTGGCAATGATGTTACTAAAATAATAATCAATTACAAGTAACTGAAATGTCCAAAGTGATCGATGGTCTATAGAAACTTGCAATAGTCAATTTTAGGTCGATCACGAAAAAAAAAGGACTCATTTTGTTTAGTATATTCAGGCTTGACATAGGAATCTTAAGAGTAAAATAATGTTCAAGTAAATAATGAAACTCAATATCAAAGATATTTGTGGAAAGATGATGTATGGATTCAACATGCGATTTAAAGCTTCAACGCATCACAACCTCTTTCGAGAAATCCCTAAGTTTCTTAAAATAGCAGAAAAATGACTAACAAGCCAAAATTTGCTCTCGGTAAGAGAGGGGAGAGAATTTAAATTATAAGATTAGTTGTTGAGAAATCTTTGAGTGCAGTGCTAGAGTTGATTTTCCTCTGGTTATCTGAAGGCACGTTTAGACTTTTCCCAAACTAAGTGAAACACGATTATGCAACTTGAATACGACATTAGCGACAAGCAAAACTTTTATTATACATCTCTTTTTGTTAACGTCAGCTGATAGAAAACATCAAAAGCATTATCATAGGGGAAAAAATCATTTAAATATATCTGTTTCCTATAGTTTGTGAAATGTCTAAATACACCTTAAGATCTATTATCTTCGATTTGTCTGTTTGTGATCTCGTATTATTCTGTCCCGGCTTAACGTTAATTATTAGTAAGTGAAATACTGGTATTTGGGAGCCGTAAGTCTTTTCTTTTGAAATCATTCAATCATATCATATATTGATTTTTCGTCTTTTATTTATTTTTTTTTTTTCTGTTGGTATTACAGACAATGTAGATATTTTGCTGCCTTAACAAGTCTGCTTTTTCCATCTCTCTCTATCTTGGACTATTCTTCCATTTATCACGCACGCAGATCTATTGCATCTTTGTTAATTTGATCTATCCATCTGCTTTTTGGCTTTTCACGTGGTCTTTTCCCATCTATTGAGGCATTCATTGTTACGTAGAGGCTTCCAGATGGATTGCTACGAGCTACATGCAATGTCCATCTTAACCTCCATGCCTTCATATCATGGGATATTGATTGACTTTTTTTTTTTAGTTAATATTCATTTTTAATAGGTATTCCTATCGCTATTTGGTTTTTTATGTCCAATTCTTATGCGTTAGTCCCTGGTTTCATAAATTTAATAATTAAAATGCTAAAATGAATGCTAATTATTACTATTTTTGTTATTTTTTTAATAAACTGATATTATCATTATAAATAATTCTTCCTTAGAACTATTCGCAAATAACATAAGTTTATAATTGAATCAAAATTTAGTTTAAATCTATTATAAAATCTAACTATGTCAAGAAAACTACTTGAGAGTAAATCATACTATAATGAACCCACTATAATTTTTCCATTACTTGTTTTTAATTAATCAATGTAATTATTATAAATAATTCTTCCTTAAAAATATAACACAAGAAGTTAGGAATTAAGTTCGATGTTGGCAAATTGAATGTAAGCTTAATTCCATTTTGTTATAAAACCTAGTTGTGCCAAGAAAAATACTTATAATATAAATAATCCTATAATGAACCCAAATAGTTTTTTCTTTTCATTAATTTTTTTTAACTAATCGATGTGATTATTATAAATAATTCTTCCTTAAAAACAAACCTCAGAAGTTTAGAATTAAGTTTGATGTATTCAAATTGAATCTAAATTTAGTTCAATTCCATTATTAAAAACAATGCCAAGAAAATTACTGATAGAGTAAATAATGCTATAATGAACACCAACTATATATTTTTTTCATAAATAGTTTTGAATTAATCGATATTGTTATAATGAATAATCCTTCCTTGAAAAAATGAAACCTAAAAATTTATGAATAAGTACGATGTACGTGAATCGAACCTAAAATTAGTTCAAATCTTTTATAAAATCTATATATGCTTAGAAAAATACTGATAATGAATATGGATATAAAAGTGAATTTAAAGTTATCACTTTTATTTATTTTATTTATTTATTTTTAGGTTATTTTATTCTTATTTATTGTATATATGTTATTTTTCTGTATAATTTATTTTATTTACAGTACATAGAGTGTGAATGTGATCTGTGAACACTATTATAAATGTCCTTGAGACAGATTGTAATATTTTACAATAAAAAAAAAAAAAAAAAGTTATCACTACAGGTGGAAAATAAGAAAATCAGAACAAATAAATACAACTTCTCTACTCTACAACTAATTTAGTAATTTGAAAATGAGTATACTATTTATAATTCTGTTACTAAAAACCATAGATAATCAGTTTCAAACACAAATTTAATTTTGTCAATTTTAGATTTCTAGAAATGCTTTAATAGCGTTTGATGGAAAATCAACAAGCGAAAAAAAGTTTTAACAAGCCAGTGCTGTTTTTGATTTAGCAGCTTTCAAAAGTGATTTAAATACTTTCGGATTAATTCATCAAGCATCATCAGGCCAAGTCAAAGAACGAGTGCTCCATCCGCATACCCTTTGAATCCCAAATTAGCTTTAAACTTCTTCTCCAAGGTAACGAATTAGGACAACTTATCTAACGGTAGGGGATGGTTCTGAGGGAGGGGGGAGTTGGAGAATTTAAATTATAAAACCTTATATAAGTTTCATAAAGTAATCAGAATGCTAAGGGAGGGGGAGAGAGGGGAGGCCTCTAATCAAGGAGAGATACTACGTTGTAGATGCGACTAAACTTTTGAATCCGTTGCCAGTTCATTTGATTAATTCCTTGTTTTACCAATGTTTTCCATGATAGATTTAACAAGTCAAGCCTGCATACATTTTTTTTTTTTTAAAATTCAGACGTGTTACGTAAATAATTTCTTTAACTTGTGAAATGAAAATTTCTCTCGTAAACACTTTATACAATAAACTCAAAATGGGATTATATCAACGTTTTGCCTAAAAGGTCAGTATGTAATATCAAGTGTTTTTTTGACATATTTAGTACAAAAGTTGATACGTTTTTGATGTTTTTATTTTCATCGAATCCACAATTCTTATTAAAATTACAACTATAAGCGGTAAAAATTGTATTCATTATGAATTTTTCTTCTTAAACGAGTTTAAAATTAAAATACATGAACAAAAATATTTTTTTTAATATATATTATACATATCAATGAGGAAAAGGACAGTGGAATCGTTTGGTCACATGAAGAGAATGAGTGAAGATAAGATAAACAAACAGATATTTGACAAAATAATGGGACTGAAGAACATCAAAGGATAAAGGGAGAAATAGTAAGGCTTGGGATAAAAGAAGTGGAATACCTAGATAAGGATAAATTCAAGGAACAGTGAATACGATAAGGTTCTTGGAGCAGAAACTGAGGAGAAAGTAAGGAAGCGGACAGAAGAACGGAAAAAGAAAATTGGTGGAAAAAATAAAGAAAGTTTGGGCTAAGAGAAAAGCCAAGAAATAATAATATACATGCGGTCATCAGCTGACCTATATCGCAAATATATATATTTGTACGAATACTCTTCTGCTTATTAAGTATATATTTTTTTTATCTTATTATGAAACGTCTAGGGTTCAACGAGGAATAAAAAAACAAAGATGTTTTATATAATGTAAGTATTATTATATGTACTGGTACTAGCTGGAGGAATTAGTTCAAAAAGTGGGCCTTGTGCCAAACTCTGCATGCTACCTTGAATTTACCGCCACTAACCAACTAACCAGAGTGGCAGTATCAAGATTAATTTTTCGAGGCCGCTACCAAATAAATATTAACTGAATCAACTGGGAATCGAACCCACAAGTTTAGAACCGACCACCCTAAGACCCTCGACTCAATTTACTCGGCCATCACCTC